TGTTGAGAAGGGTTCTGATTGGCCCTGCTTGAGCCACCTGCTTCTCTCTTGACCAATCACTGTGTTCAGGGAACTGGGTTCTCTGATCAGCTACTTGGTAGGGCCTACCCATCTAGTTCCATGAAGAAGAAACAGAAGAGAGAGTTTTATTATGGGAAGAGGAAAAGAAGCAGCTACCCACCCTACCATGATTCAGTGTCCTGGTTCCCCATATAGCTTTGCTTCTAGATGGTACTATTTCTAGAAAAGACCTGGAGAGCAAATCTCATTTAAAAGTATTAATTAAGCCAACTCCTGTACATGACATGAGCTGCCAAACAAAAATAGATAAACACTATCTTTTTTGGGAAGTTTATAATCTAAAACTGATAATTCAGTGTTATGCAGGCCAAATATGAGTCTGAAGGCCATATAGACATTGTGTTAATACTGAAAAAATACATATGTTTAAATATTGGAATGTTTTACTAGTTTGGATTTATCTGTGTGACATCTTGTTGTATAAACTTACCTTCTCAGGAGTTTTAAATAGAACTTCCCAAATGTCATGGCAGAAGGCTACCACTTTTTCTGGCCCCAGTGACATACAAACTTCAGTTACAATGAGATTTATTGAGAATTGCTTGAGTGTCTTTGAATCCTAATTTTGGTTCTCAAAATATGAAATAAACCATGCTGACTTCTGGAAGGATACATATGCCTTTGACATGATCTTCACTCTTTGACAGAAGAAAGGAAAAAGAATATTGCTTGTTTCAGGAGTGCAATGTCAAAATATTTTTTCACTGTGATCTTTTAAATATATTACACCTTCCTCTTTTTTAAAGATATCATAAAGCATTTTGCATACTATCATCATATGGAGACCACCATATTCCTATAATGAAAACAGTAGGCTGAGTATCTTAGCCTCAGGGTACAGATGGAGTGTAGGGTCCTTGCTAAGGGAGCTATACTGAGTGGGTAATAAAGCCAAGAACAAATCTTGCCCTTTGACTTTTAGTGATTCTATTTAATGTTCTGTTTTCCAAAGGAAAAACTGCTCAGCCAATATATGCTAGGGTGATACATGGTAGAGTTAATCTCACTGTATAACATAGCTTTGACTTGATAAGACAGATCCTGCCAGGGAAACTGCTGACCTCATTTTGTCCTTTCTGGGTATCAGGTGACCAATAATCAGAAGGTTTCACACAGTCTGTGTATCTGTATTTAACAAAACATGAAGGAGCTTTTAAACTTGGGACTTAGAGAATATGACAAGAGAATTATTTGATCAGCTGAACCTAGTTTGTAAAAGAACTATATGCAGCTTCCCAAACATATGCAGTAAACCTTCGAAATTATACCACAGGTTGTTGTACACATCTCTAGGTTCTCTTTAATAACCTGAGGAAAGCCTCAACCAGTCCCCATGCTGCTCCAAGGTGGATCCTCTTTGGGGCCTGTGTTCCTTCTGCCCTGCTTGGGTTGGGGGCTGTTTCTCACTTCCAGAACCCAGGAATGGTTATGACTGTATGTTTGCAGTCACTTGGAGGGGAGTGAGTCTCTCTGTGCTGGCAGCTGCACACTCTCTGACATGCTGCTGAAACTGGGAGAAGTTTCCAAGCCTTTTCAGTAGGAAACATAGTTTCCTACTTAGTATCTCTGTGCCCTTCCCAGTAAACTTCTTGTGTAACACTTTTAAATATCCCCCGACATCAGTGGCCAAGAATAGCACAATTCCATGACTTCTCAGTCACTTCATATTCCACGTGATGAGAGTTTTCTTCCTAGGAAGGGGAAGACAGAAAATTGGTAAGAGCTGGCAGTTTCAAACATAATCTTTTGGGTAGTTGGTCCACTAAGGTACCCAGATATCAGCCAATCTGACTGGAGAGCTTTCTGTTCCTCCCTGGTCTTTCTGTCAGTCAGTACGAATGATATTAAAGTTTGAAAGACAGTAGTCGAGTGGCATTGCTCTCTTCTTTGGCAAATCTGACAAACATCGGCTTTTTTCCAGGCAGGAGAAATCCCACTTCCAAGGGGCCAATTTATAAATATCATTGTCTGGTCCTGCAAAATGAAGATACTTTTAATTAGAATAACAATCTGTGGTGTTGGGCATTAGTAAATATCATCTCATTCTGCTGTCCCTGCTTGTTAGGGACCAGGCTGCAGAGCTCCACCACATCTCCCCCAACACACACACCTCCCTGGCCCGTGGAAAAATTGTCTTCCACGAAACTTAAGAAAGGATGGTGCAGGGGGTGCACAGCGGGAGGTGAGCAAGCAAAGCTTTATCTGTATTTACAGCCGCTCCCCATCGCTCACATCACTGCATGAGATCCACCTCTCTTCCTCCTCACCTGTCCATGGAAAAATTGTCTTCTATGAAATGGTCCCTAGTGCCAAAAAGGTTGGGGATCGCTGATTCATGTGTGATTTAAAAACCCACAAAATTTCTATTATATGAATTTTACTCAACCACTTAATACTGATTATCACCTTTGAAACTATTGTAAGTGCTGGGATTTATACTTTTTTTTTTTTAAAGAAAGGACTACATAGATATTTTGGTGGATTCTTCTTCAAATAAAGGATTATTTTGATACACTATCTCAAAGGTACAAAGAAGCTTGCTTAATGACTGTCAAAAATGATACCTGACTCTGGCCTCTGTCCTAAAAACTATTTGCTCTCAGTCACACACACACAAAATCAAATTTTCATGTGAAAAATATCCTGGCCAATCTATGATTTAAATACTAAAATATATATTTGGTTACTTTCTCCCCGAATCATGACAATTATAATCATTCAACATTTTACACATCTAGAAGTATGTTAAGAAAGAAAATTGAAGCCTTAAGGATAATCACATCTTGTAAAAATGATTTAACAGCAGCAATCAGCTTAGGTTCTGACAACTATTAGATAAATTTGGAAGCCAGGAAAAATAATCAAGACACTAAGACACATGTTTTAATCAGTCACATTGGAGTAGTTACTATAATAGACCTCATTAAAAGAAATATTGTATTCCATGTAACTATATTAAATATTCAAGCATCCCAGAAGCTAGTAATACCGTATGTTTCCAGTTTCCTGAGAAACTTCTTCAGTTCAGTAGGCTAGAAGCATCCTTCTAAGTTCTTGTGTTTGCCTTGTGTTAAAGTTTCATAGTCTTTAAATACATCTGTAAGGATAAAGATACTGGAGTAGGACCAGTTTGCAGAGTCAATAAAGTGCACAAGAGGATTCCTGTTGTTGTTTTCTCACCTCATTAACAAAAATTATCCCACATATAAAGAAAAATCTCAGTAGATTGATACTAAAAAATTCAAATTACCATCTCCTTCATAGTCAGTAGTGTTAATAATTCCCTGCTGAATGCAGATGGATTTATATTCTTTGAAATGCAGTTAATTCAAAACACTGCATACTTTTTGGAATAGTTGGTCCCATGAGGTATGAACTCAGACATATTTGTTTGCTTCAAAGTGAAACAAATATTATGATTACCTTTTAATAGGAAAAGAATGAAGTTGACAAGAATATATGTAAAATCATCTGTTCATTCCTCTTACCTTAGCAATTAGATTTTTAATGCAGATTTACAGCCCCAAAATTATTTGTTCTCTTGAGACCAAACCCATGGATAGAGATGCCAGCTAGATAGCCCCAGCACTGCAGAGTAGCCATGAAAAGAGAAAGCCCCTCTCTCCAGGGAAATGTTTACTTAGCATTTAGTAAAGGCCATGGAATGCCAGTATGTAAACCTCTGGACTTTCAAATTGATAATAACTTGGTACATTTTGCTTAGGTTCTTGCTCAATAAAACATTTTCATTTCCCTAATTATTAATAGTTTTAGCTGTGATTAAGGAGTCAGTATAAATTCGGATGTGCCTTTGCATTCGCAGTGAATATAAGGCTGTCACTTTCACTTATAATTGATTAGTAGGGAAATGAAATGTTGTGAAACTGTGAAAATGTTAAGCAATTTATAGCTTTTCTTTGTATTTACCCTGTAAACAAGCTTAGAAGCATAGAAGACCTCCTGTTCCTTCATCATAATTGCCTGCTTTACCAGTAGTGAAGCTGGTGCCGGAAACTTGAATCTGGGGTAAATTCTAAATGATGTGAGATCATAATTTATTTTAATCGCTGAAGATAATAATGGCTAATAAATAGTAAGAGGTTGAGATCTAAGTTTTGTTAAGATTAGTGGGATTCAACTTCCTGGTGTTCTCTGTAAACTTAAATAAGGCATTTCTATACTCTGTGAAAGACTGGTAATATAACTAGCTTATAGCTTACTTTTTCAAATTAAAATATATGTGAAGATAAAATATAATGAATTTTGGTTTTTAGAAGAAAGCTGATATCTAAATCTATGGCATCTTATCATAAAATTTCACAGTAATAGTAGCTGGTTACAGAATTAACTAAAACCCACAACTGTGTGTTGGAGGAGCTCCTAAGAACACGGCAGCCTCATAAAAAAAAAATATACTGTTTGGCCTAAGGAGACAGCTATAAAGATGTCCTGATTATATTATATGACTTTGTGGCCATCTCTTTATCAATACTGGAAAAAATAATTATGACATATATGAGCACAGAAAATCCAGAAAAAGATTTAGTAAGGAAATTTATTATTATTTAAGAAAAATAGTGTGTTATTACTTACCAAGTGTTTTGAATTCTTATTAAAGCAAAATAACTTGATTAAAAATTGAAAATTGCAAAATCTCCATAACCAAATGGTTGCAAATTACTTAGTACTTTCAAAGTGATACTTTATTGCTCTGCTTTAAGCTCTAATTCAAAGAAACATTGACCATCTAAGAGTCTGTACAGGTCATTACTTTAAGTATTAGGAAAGGATTTCTACTTCACTGTGCTTTATCTATTACCAAAAATTAATGCTGAATTGAGAATAAATTTTTAAGCTGAAGTATCACGATGAATGTTTAGAAGATTCTCCAACAATTTACTGCTATTTATTTCTTGCAGGCTTGTACAGCATATGTGGATTTCATGGTTGCTGTGGCCAAATTGATTCGTCAGGAAGAAAGATTGCCAATCAATGAAAGCCAGATAATGTTGGAAATGAATAAAGTTATGGAATTGGAAAAAGAAATTGCCAATGTAAAACACATTTTTTCGATACACTGAATAATGTCAACCACGTTTTTTTCTTTCCTCTCTGTATCATGTTTTAAGGGTAAAAGGTGAAACTCTTTAACCAACTGATAAAAATGCATAGCTCAGTAATAGTTCATTGACTTCAAGAGGATCTTTGAAACTATAGAATTTTGTAGTAAACTGGGTCTCCTGACCTCCAAGAGACACCCTAAATTTGACAAATATTGAACTGGAAACACTGAATTGCTTATTTTAAGTGGATTACATCAGAATTCTACCATCTACAGTCAGACTGTTGTTAGACGTCCTTGGGACTCAGGACACACGCAAAGCTGTTTTGTTACATACAATTTTACTTTATTCTAAAGTTTAAGGTGATCACAGAGATTGTCTCTGTCCCTTTGTTAAGAAGTATTAAACCCCTGAACATGGTCACATGTGACTACTGAGTTCAGACTGTCAGGCTGCTGAGCTAAAGGAATGTAAGACAAGAAGAAATTAGCAGCAAAGTCCAACAGGTGTACTCCTGAATTTCCTCTGGTTCTAGATGAACCCTTGGAGTCTGAGTTGGCACTTTCTTCTCTGATGCTCCTTTGACTGAGCCCTACAGTCTCAAGTGAGTGAACTCTGAGTTCTGAGTGGCATCTGGGTTATTGATTGAACCCGGGGTCAGATTTGCTCTCTGTGTCATTGCAAACAACAATCTGCACCCCTAGCTCCCTGTATTCTTGCCCCTGCCATCTGGCTTCATCAGAATCTTGAAGAGTAAAGATTTTGGAGGGCAGTTTTATCTTTCCTGGGGCTACATGAAAACCAGAAATCTCCAGTCAGAACCAGAATGTGCTTGGAGCTGCCACTGGATGAATGGCAGTGATGGGTTGCATGTGGTTCTATGTTAAAAACAGAATTGTTAGAGAAGAACAACCCTGCCCTGAGTTTTTACCACTTATACCTTCCGAGACCATGTTTTCTTTTCTTTTCTTTTTTCTTTTCTTTTTTTTTTTTTTGAGACAGTCTCCCTCCGTTGCTCGGGCTAGAGTGCCGTGGCATCAGCCTAGCTCACAGCAACCTCAAACTCCTGGGCTCCAGTGATCCTACTGCCTCAGCCTCCTGAGTAGCTGGGACTACAGGCACACACCACGACACCCAGCTAATTTTTCTGTTTTTAGTAGAGACGGGGTCTCACTCTTGCTCAGACTGGTCTTGAACTCCTGAGCTCAAGGAATCCTCCCACCTCAGCCTCCTAGAGTGCTAGGATTACAGGCGTGAGCCACTGTGCCCAGCCCCATGTTTTCCTTTGAGCAGCCTCTGCTGTGTAGCAGTTCAATCTTACTCAGAATTATGTGTCTATATTTTCACTCTTATCTTGGGCTCTGAGATTAGCATGGGGTCTTAGTCATCTTTGAATTACATTATGTATCTCTTAACAATATCCAGCATAGTATTCCATGCAGGAGATGTTCAATTAATAATTGTTGTCAATAAAAGAATAAATAAGTGACCTAAAGGGGAAATTGGAGCCATTGTCACTGAGAAATAATTCTCATTTTAAACCTTTATCTTTTGTCTCTTCTCACTTAAAATTGCTTTTACTCATTTCAACCAGTAGTTGGGGAGTCACAATCGCAATTCTCTCTTTTCCTTTTTTTAATTCAGTAAGGAAGAAAAATTGGATGTTGTTGTGTGTAGAGCACTAAACTGTCCAGATAGGGTGGCAGGACAGTCACAAAAGTAGATGGTGTTGCCGTTCTCTTCAGATAACTTGCAACCTAACTGTGCCACGTACTAGGAATTTTCTGTGTTACTTGCCATAAATTCTTGTAAAAACTGTTGCAGTTTGTTTTCCTCTGGGTGAATTTTAAGTAGGACACTGAATGACAGTGGTGGGGGTGGGAGATAGAGTATTTGAGAGATAAATTGGAAATGTCTATATCCAAGAAAGTTATAATGAAACAGCTACAGATACAACTGAGCTGGCCATGAGCCATAGCCTACAAATATTGTTATGTGGCTTGTCAGTTGTCAAAATATAGAAAGATTCTTGAATTTTAAAGTTAGCACTGCAGCCAAATCTCAATAATTGTTACTGTTTTAAATTTCATTTTTTAATATGACAAAATAAATTATAAAACAAGTAAATCAAATTATCTTGTACCTATTTTACATATTTTCTCTCATACATAGTTTTATTTTTCTAAAGAATTCTTAGTTCTAAAATAATGATCAAAAATTAAATCCATAGGCTACAACTAAAGCTGAAGATCGAAATGATCCAATGCTTCTTTATAACAAAATGACATTGGCCCAGATCCAAAATAACTTTTCACTAGAGATCAAAGGGAAGGTAAGTGGCAAATTTTATGTACCCTCTTATTGTGCCATTTTCTAAAATTATATCATTGAAATACCATTTTTAAAATTCATTGATTTCTTATTTGTTAAAATAAATTGAACTTCAAAATGAATTTAGTTGACACCAGCCATATAACTTCATGAAAAAAAAAACTACTTGAAATCATTATATATATGTATATTAAGTTGGAGTAAATTTCAAAGGTAAAACTTTTAAAGCAGATAGCTGTACAGTAATATTAGAAAATATCATAGAAAAGGATTAGGAAAACATTAAAACTAAAAATCTTTCTGAGAGCCCATTATATAGTCATCAAACTTGGACAAACAATAAAAGCACTAGATTTCTTTAACTCCTAAAAAGGATCATTTGCTCCTAGAATTTTCCATAGTCTCATCAAAGCCATCTACAGAGGTGTTCAGAATAATAATAGAGAACTAGAACACAGAAATGAGTAGAAAATCTCTCTCATAGAGATTCTATTTGTAAACGCCCATTGTCTTCTTTTTGCTTAGCTAATATCCAGTAATTTCTTTTGGGGGCTATGCATTTATTCTCTTGTATTAGTTGATGTACATAGTCAAGAAATGAAGCAACATCCATGGGAAAATCTACAAACTACCACAGTCAGTGATGAAATTCTCTTTGGCAGTAATTCTAGTAAACAGGGACTTTTTAAAAGGCATAACTTATTGAGTTAGAGATTTCTTTTTTTGTTTTGTTTTGTTTCAGCATATCATGGGGATACAGATGTTTAGGTTATGTGTGTTGCCCTTGCCCCCCCACCAAGTCCGAGTTTCAAATATGTCCATCCTTTGGGT